TTTTTTTTTTTTTTTTTTTTTTTCAATGGTCAAGCATAACTCTGCTTTAAAATCAATCGATTCTGTGAAATGGCAGTTGTAGACCGGCGGAGTCGAGACTCAAAGATTATAAAACAGCACGGTTATGTAATCTTGAACCAAGGATAGAATGAATGATCAGTGCTGTGTGTTTTCAGTGTTTTTTTTTTTATATATATAAAGAAAGAATGAACGATCAGTGCTGTTGACAGTTGGTATAAACACCGGTTTCGAGTGATCCCCGTGGCACCGGAGAGAGTTCAAATGGCCAAGGGACAAATCTGTAAAAAAAACAAGGTGCCAGCCTGCCAGGCTCTGGTGCCAAAATGGCCCAGGCGTCCTAGGGACTGGGCCAAATGGCCGAGGGACAAATCTGAAAAGGAACTCTGGTGCCAAATGGCCGAGGGACAAATCTGAAAAATACCAAGGTGGCAGGCTCTGGTGCCAACATGGCCCAGGTGCCCTAGGGAGTCGGGACAAATTGGGAGAATAGCAAGGTACAAAGAATATGCAAGAGAAAAAGGCCCACGGCCTGGAAAGTGGGTCGGCGCAAAAACAGTTCTTCCGACTGGCACCTGAAAAGTGCACTTGTACTCAACAGGTCAATGGTCTGATCCCGAAAGCTACCATCTTCACCAGGGGTTAGGCTGAGGGAAACTTGTAGACCAACCAATCCACAGAGGCTACGGCTAGGTAGTTTGAGCCTCTGAGGTATATTGAGAGAAGAAGAGTATAGCTTACTTCACAAAAAAAAAAAAAAAAAAAAAAAGTTCAGTTATTATTAACTTGTTAACTTATTATTACTTATTAACTACTTGCGATGTATGAGCCTGTATCTATATTGGAAAAATTGCTTCAATTCAAATGTAGCTATAATGACCGTACGTTCTATTCGGGCGAAGACGGAGGAGACTACAAGTTGTGGTGACTGCAGACTGGAGGAAAGGATGGTGCGTTACTTGCCGCCTGAAGACATTTGGTGGCAATGAGGAACTTTCACCTCTTCTCCGTCTTCGTGGGTCATCAGCCCGACTCTTTAACTTTCTTTTAGCTGCAATTTGCTACTGCCTCCCCCAAAATAACGCATGGTCATTATCGCTGTACTCCGATAGAATGTTGCCATGTGATGTCAGTCAGCGGAGTAGAGGAGCTGCGGACAGGTTGTAGGGCTCGGAGGCGATGGGAAGAAATGAAACCAGAGCAGCTCACAACTAGTTTTGGCGGCTAGAACAGTTTTGGGTTGTGTAAATGGGGATACCAACCTATTGGACAGCTGCCGTCTGTCCTAAGTTTGTGTTGTTCGGATTTCTGTTGTTGTTGTTTTTTGGGGGTGTCTGTGTGGTGGGGGGGGCTGCTACAGGTGATGAATCCGACATATTATAAACTCGAAGGGACAACCCAGGACACCATCAACCTCTATTTGTCCAGGTACGTGGGTGGGATCAACCGTTCTGTGTACTTTCTTGCCCGAAACACAATCCCCAGGCTGTTTATCTGTATCTGGCCAGAAAGTTGTAGTAAGTACCGCTATGATGACTGGGTGGCGCATTCAGGGGAATGATGTAGTATTAAGTGCTTGAGAAGATGTGCACGTTCTAGTAACTTAAAATAAGCACATTGGGGGGGGAGGGGAGGGGGGGGGGAGGGAGAGAGAGAGAGAGAGAGAGAGAGAGAGAGAGAGAGAGAGAGACAGAGACAGACACAGACAGAGAGACAGAGACAGACAGAGACAGAGACAGACAGACAGACTGGGAGTGTTATGCGTTTGAGACGGAACGCTGATGGAGAGCTGTATGACGGGAAACTGTCACGTACGGTTCGGAAGGCAGAGACTCACTACCCACAGACAGACAGACAGACAGACAGGGAAAGAGTCTGACATAAAGGTCATCATGAAGAATTTGTCCTCGTGCGGCAGGCCAAGTGCATCCCAGTTTATTAACCGGCACGCCTCTCGGAAGTACTGGTGGTGGTTGAGTGGAATTTTTCTTTTGCCCACAAAAAAGTGATGAAGATTTCTCCATCAAATGACTCACAATGGCTTTTTGGCCCCCCCTCCCTTTCCCCCCCCCATCTATTGCCTCCCTCCTCCAGTCTTGTCAATGATGCCTTTCAGGCACTGGAAGATGCCGGATGTATTGCGGTGAATGAGGAAGTCAACACTGTGGAACCGCTGACCCCCGGAAAGGTGGCATCCCTGTATTACTTGAACTACACAACAATGGCGTTGTTCACTGCCAACATCAATGATGAGACGTCAGTTGAGGTGCGTGAATACATGTGATATTTTCCTCGTAGATGGGTTAAGGGCGGACTCGTACTAGGGACTTTCCTGAATGTATCTCACCGCAATACTAGGGGCTTTCCTGAATGTATCTGACCGCAATACTAGGTACTTTCCTGAATGTATCTCACCGCAATACTAGGGACTTGCCTGAATGTATCTCTCACCGCAATACTAGGGACTTTCCTGAATGTATCTCTCAACGCAATACTAGGGACTTTCCTGAATGTATCTCTCACCACAATACAAGGGACTTTCCTGAATGTATATCACCGCAATGACAAACCAAATCCAGTTGGAAAGCTTGAGGATTCAGTCAAATTAGGTGCTCGTGTGAGTATGGCCTTAAATGATTAAATCCTCTTTTCCCTGCTCTACTTGTTTCCCTTGCTGCTCTCATTTGAGAACCCTTTCCTCCATCCTCCATTCTGCATCCTCCTCCTCCTCCTCCTCCTCCTCCTCCTCCTCCTCCTCCTTCCTCCTTTCCCTCCTTCTACCTCCTCTCTCCTCCTTTCCGCCTACTTTTCTGTCTCCTCCCCCCCTCCTGTTTCAACTCGTCCTTCTGCTACTCTCACTGTTTTGTCCCATGGGCCAATTTTTGTTGTCCCATTCCAGTTTGTCCCATCGGAGCTCTGGTCGTTGTTACCTTTCGCGGCATCATTCTCCGCAGACTCAGCTTGTTAGCTTTTTTAGGTGATTGCTGCATGGAGTCGATGATGAACTTGCGAAGGTCGAAAACTGAACTTTGTTGAGGGAAAAGAGTTTGCAACGAAAGGCTTGACAACTTACATTTAAGTTTCTGCGGGTTGAACCTGATTCGCTAATTACTTGGGAAAAATGGAAGAGCACACCTTCGTCACGTTCACAAATATGTATGCAAGCAAGAAACTAATACACTGGAGGCAGTGCAAGAATCAATCATTATGACATATAAAAACAAAGGCCATTGAAGAGTCGGGAAAGTCAAAATAGTAGTACTGTAGTCTCAGCAGCTCTCAAAGAGTCCATGCACAGTCATAACTGAGTATGCACTGATTGCTATCTGGGGAAAAAAAAAAAAAAAAAAAAAGTTCAAAAAACTAGTTTACCAGCCGGGGCGCCCGGGTCACCCTGTTTTCCCGGCCGGCCCGGCCGTGCAAGGACCAGGGAACCAAGGAAGGTCCCAGCAAAAAAACAAAAACCGAAAAAAAAAAACTGTCACACAGAAAAATAAACTGAACAACTTTTGCCTCAGGGTCACATCGGAATTCTTTACCAAATTTAAAATAAAATATATTTAAAATATATATATTTAAAAATTAATAAATTACTAGGCTACCATAGTGGCCCGGGGTCACTTGCCCGGCCGGGCCCAAATAATTGAAAAAAATAAAAAATAAAAAAATATTTTTGAATTTTATTTTTTATTTGAAATTTGGTGAAGAATTTCGATGTGACCCTGAGGCAAAAGTTGTTCAGTTTATTTTTCTGCATAACATAGTTTTTTTGCAGAATTTTTGGAATTTTTTTTTTTTTTTTTTTTTTTTTTTTGGGACCTCACCTGATCCTTGCACGGGCTGGCCACCCGGGACCCGGGCGGCCCGGCTGGTAGCCTAGATAAATTATATATATTTTAAAATATCACTACGCGGCCATGCTGTGCCTCTAGTGCCAGCGGCGTGTCTGGAGTGTATTTTTTGGCTGTGACAGACCTTTCTTTGTTTCGTGGGTGTTTTGCTGGCTTGTGATGGGGTGTGAACCGACAGTCTGTAGAGTTTTCCATCTGGTGTGGGTGAGTGATAGTCTACTTTGATTTTGGTTAAGGTAGATTATCATTTACAGTGTAATCAGTGAGGGGATTCTGCAGACTGTTGAGGGTTCAGCCTCCTGATGAGTCGGTGAAACTCCGACGAAACAGTTTGTCACAGCCCCTCGTTTGTTGTCCTCTTCTCCCTCTCTGCCTACGGTTTACCGGGCAGTTCTATTTGACGATATATATTTGACGATATATATATTTTATATTTTATTTTTTTGGCCTGGCCGGGCAAGTGGTCCCGGGCCACTCTGGTAGCCCAGGTGAAAATTTGAAAACAAAAATTGAACCAGTTCTTGGGAGGTAAAAAAAAGCGGACTCTTCGTATGGATGGTCTCGATCGGAAGGGGTGAAAGTTTCACACACACACGATCAACAAGATCGAAGTCCAAGTAACTGCGACAAAAGCTTTTATTAGAGAAGTAAAAAAGTACTAAAAATCCAAGAGGTCGCGGGGGTGACGGGCTTTCTTTTTTTTTTTTTTTATCCAAGTGCGATGGATCTCCATCCATTCTGCAAAGAAATGTGCAAAAGTTTTTTTTCTGATAATGAAGGACCTTTCGGTACCACAGGGACTTTTGCATGTGCTGTGCGCTGCTTCGGAGTTCAATGAGCTTCCTGTTCGCCATAATGAGGTAAGTTCTACCTTCATCAGTTTCAGTGTTGTGATGGCTTCGGCAGTTGTGGTAAAATCAGTTGTCTTTTCTTTTGCCTTTTTTTTCTTTGTCCAGATATGTGTGCGATCACTGAGATGGGCTCTTTTTTTTTTTTGTTCTTTTTTTTTTTTGGGTGAGATGGGCTCTTCCATTCTCGTATGGTATCGGTATTTTTGATGGTATGTTTCGTGTGTGGTTGTATCACATCTGAAATCGCCTTCTTGTCTGAGCGTGGTGATTACTAGCTTGTATGCCTATGACTTGTAGCACTCCTTTTCAGTTATTTGAAGACTGTGATAATGCGTGGAACAGCTGTCGCTCAGGACTGTTGGTCATGCTCTACTTGTGGAGTTATATAGCACAGAGATGAGAATGAGCTTGCTGTATGCAGCCATCGGCTAGCTCTGTCTGCGGGTGAAAAGGCAGTCCGCTGCATCTCTCTCTCTCTCTCTCTCTCTCTCTCTCTCTCTCTCTCTCTCTCTCTCTCTCTCTCT